GGAGGGAGGGATGGGGAGAGAGAGACCTGCGCAACCACGTATCTGACAGATTTATTTTCTTTTTCAGACCTAAAAATTTTCAGATCTTTTTCCAAAAAATGCAGTATTAGTAAGTAAGGTCATGGTGAGTGGTTTATCAGCCCTAAATGGAATGCGTCCTGTGGAAAAGGCAGCAGGGAAACGTTTATGCGTCAGGGGTGGTGCTGGAGCTTGCGCCCAATCCAGGGGCAGGGGGCTGAGCGCCTCCCCCTGGGCTCCCTTGCCTGTTAGGCTAACTGGCCAGACCAGTGCAAGGAATGGAGGTGATTCTGCTCTGGTGGCAAGGGAGAAGGACCAGGGCCAGAGCAGCCCCCAGCCCTGGTGCAGCCCCACTCGGTGCTCAGTTTACAGTGACGATTCCTTTCCATGGGCATGTGAAATCACCACACACCCACAGGCTGTAATGAAGGGCTTTACGGAGCTGACTGCAGCTGTTTTCCCGCATAATAGTTTATGAAGACAACACCCCGGCCACCAGGGAAGGAGGAGGGTTTACCACCGGGGAGGGGGTGATGCAGGCTGTACCTTCCAAGCTGGTAATCATCCCAGTGGGACCCAGCCTGCCTTTTCTTAATGGGACAGGAGCCCTGGCTCTGCCTGTTCATTACTAAACAGATGTTCAGTGGGCTCAGGCACTCACAGGCGTCTCCTCAGAGAGCAGAGCCTGCTGTAGGGGGTGGGGCACAGGGCTGACAAGGTGACGCATCGGTGACAGGTTGGCAGTCCAAGCAACAGCTTCTCTGATAGCCGCACAGCACAAGAGCTTCTGAGGCAGCTGCTGGGGATGACAGCACTCCACCTGACTGATAATGCTCAGCAGAGTGCCCAGCACAGGCCCTGGTCACTCTACCCACTTCCCTCCTCCCAGCGACTGAAGTCACCACTCAGGAGAGCTGCCCCCACCCCACGCTGTGGGAAAGCAGAGAGCTGAATGAGGCATACCCTTTCTGCCTGGGCTGTCAGGAAGCTCACAGGTATGTATCACAGATGAAGTGAGTAGACCAGACTGGCTTCTCCAGGCAGCACCATCACTCAGTGTTCTACATGAATGGCGTCCCCTTCCCTCTGCTCTACAACAGAGCCCCTCCACCAAGATCCTCCATGGGCTGAACTGGGAGGACACTTGCGTCTTTATGTTACGGGAACTTTCTGCAGAATGTGACCCTGTTGACTACTGTCCCCCAAACTGTTTCTTTAGCTCTGGGGCACTGTACCCAACCTCTCTGACAGTTGTCTGTTCCCTTTCTCCAATCCCTAATTGCTCATGGTCCTCAAGAGTCCCTCCTTGCATCTCCTCCACTCCTAGTCTCACCTCCGACTCTGGACACCTGATCTCCAGTCCGGACACTCCCCCTGGGCGTCCCATGGGCACTTCAGCGTCTCTCCATCCCTCAACCTGCTCCTCCAGCAAAGGGCACCAGGTGTCCAGGAGACAGATGTCTTGCCTCTTCCGCATCCCCATGGGCATCAGTCACCAAGTCCAGCCAGCTCTGTCTTCTCAATACGCCTCGAGTCTGATCCCTCCTCTTTCCCAGCGTCCACTGCCTTCACTCAGGACCCTCGCACTCATACTCTCCCTTAAATCTGCCCTCCACACTCACCACAGTCCCCAGAGTGAGCTTTCCCGGGTCTGAGCAGGTCATTCCCCTCGGGAAATGCCCTTCAGTGCTTCCCACTGCCCTCAAGAAAGCAGCCACGCTCCCTCGCCTGGTGCCCCAGGCCCTGGACGACCTCCCTCCCAACTTCATTTGCTGCTACCACCTCCACCAGACTTGACCCCTGACTTGTCATCTCTGCCACAATCTGCCCTAACTGACCTGTTCCCCATCCCACCCCAAGACTGCATTACGTCCCTCTGTCCCGTGCTGCTCCCTAAGAGGGGATGAGGAACCACCTGGGTCAGCCCCTCAATGAACTGTGAGGTCTTCGGGGACAGGGACTGTGTCTTGGACATCTTCTTGTCCCCAAAAGCCGGCCCAGCACCTGGCCCAGAGTAGGCGTTCAATGAGCGTTGGCTGAACTGACCTGCACCAGCGCACATCCATTCATCACTCCTGTAGATTCTGAAATCACCTCGGGCTTTATTTCACACTGCCTTACTGCACAGGTGTGTCTAATTTAACCCACTTCTCCTCCTACTGGGCAGGAGGAAGAACTTGAACAATAAGGAAGGTGGTCTTTGGCAGGATACCAGCAAATGGAGGGGGACATTTAGGAAGGGCGCCCTCGGAATGGCCTGTGCACTGCCCAGCCACCCCCCAGGTGCCCCTACCTTTTTCAGGGTCCCCCAGGCTCGAGCGGACGGTCTCCACTGCTTTCTCCACCTCCTCGCTTTTGCAGACGTTGAGCTGGATGGTTCTCAGTCGATCACTCTTCAAGCTGTCCAGTTCCTTGACCCCATCATCCCCTTTGTCCTGGGGAGGAGAGAGGAGCTGCTTCACCCCACTCCTTCCCACCCTGCCTCCAGGAAAAGGACCAGGACCAAGGCGGGGAGCTGGCCCCGAGTCCCTGCCAAAGCCTGGGCCTTACTCACAGCTGCAGGGGGTGGTCTCAGGAGGCCCACCCAGGCTGCGCCACCTGCAGGTGGTTCTGCAGTGCTTAGTCTGGTGCCTGGTATGTCTGCAGTGCTTCTGTTCCTTTAGCTCTGGGGCACTGTACCCAACCTCTCTGACAGTTGTCTCTTCCCCTTCTCTGACCCCTAATTGCTCACTGATGACATATCAAGCACCAGACTAAGTGCCATAGACACAACCAGGAGCCCCAGTGCCTCCCTGGCAGGACTCCTTCTTTAAGCAGAGGTTGCAAACTCGATTCCTACCAGGGCCAGGCATGTGGGCCTCATCTCATCAGATGATGAGAAGGATGGGGACTTGGGGGGTCACATGCCTGGCCTCTCAACCCCTGCCAGCCCTCGCCCGTGCGTAAGCCTACAGTTGCCAGATGCTTAGATTTTTTTTTTCCTGAGGAGATCAGCCCTGTGCTAACGTCTGCCAATCCTCCTCTTTTTTTGTCAAGGAAGACTGGCCCCTGGGCTAACATCTGTGCCCATCTTCCTCCACTTTATATAGGACACCACCACAGCATGGCCTGACAAGCGGTGCGTCGGTGCGCACTCGGGATCCGAACCAGTGAACCCCGGGCCACTGCAGCGGAGCGCGCGCACCTAACTGCTTGCGCCACTGGGCGGCCCCAGATGCTTAGATTTTTAAGCTTGTAATTGGGATTTCTGTGTAAAATTTCCTAATTTTTTTTAAGTGTTGGCAACTTATTCACATTTAAAAAAACACCGTGTGAGCCAAAGCACATCCACAGGCCACACGTGACCAGCAGGCTGCCAGCTTGCGACCTCTGTCCTAAGCCAAGGGCCCATCACCCCCAAGTTGGTAAGAGTCCAGGGCCGGGCTCTACTTCCAGCTGAGTCACTGACCAGGCTCTGGGCACTCAGGTGCATCCTTAACGAGTGCCAGCTTTTCCAGCCACAGTTGGAAACAAGGACATCACCACCTGTCCTGACCTGCTCAGGCTAATGGAATGAGGAAATTTTTTTTTAAAAAACCTGTTAGGGCCGGCCCCGTGGCTTAGCGGTTAAGTGTGCAAGCTCCGCTGCTGGTGGCCTGGGTTCGGATCCCAGATGTGTACGGACACACCGCTTCTCTGGCCATGCTGAGGCCGCGTCCCACATACGGCAACTAGAAGGATGTGCAGCTATGACATACAACTATCTACTGGGGCTTTGGGGGAAAAAAATAAATAAATAAAATTATAAAAAAAAAACCTGTTAAACTATAAAACGCTACACAAATTCAGGTATTATTAACCATGAAAAAATGTCACTCACTCAGCAAACATTTCTTGGGCCTCTATCACATTCTGACACTGTGCTGAGAACTGGAGACACAAAAGTAATAACTCAGCCCCTGTTCTCAAAGAGTCACATTTTTGGGAAGCAGGCAGATGAGTCAGCAAACAATACAGGGGGTATTTGCTGCACGGAAACTTGTGGGAGGTGGGATGCTGCATACAAGGTGGGGCGGTCAGGGAAGACTGTCCAAAGGTAGTGACAGCTGAGGGCATCAACCAGAGGGGGCCCTGGGGATGGGGCACTTCAGGAAGAGGGACGAGGGTGCCACTGTAAGCCACTGGAGGCAGAGCAAAGGCATAAGGGGGTGGTGGGACGGGAGGCTGGAGTGGGCAGGAGGCTGCTTGGGGGCAGTGGTGAGCTGCTGGAGGATCTGAATAGAAGGAGACGTCATTTATTGAGTGTTTACTGTGCTTCACACTGTGCTGAGCACTTGTGCGTTATCTCATTAGTCCTTGCATCATGAGGCAGGTTGTATTACCACATTTCATCTGTTCTATGACATATTTTTTCCACCATACGGATGAACTACAATCGATGTGAAAATTAAACACTGTCAGTCGTAATTTAATTGGCAGCGACTTTTCTTAGTGGTGCATGAGTAGTGATGCATCTTACAAGGGGACAGGAGTAGCTGCCAGAGGATGAAGTGATAGAGAAACACCCACTCTCAGCCGAAGGCTTGCCCGGGGCACATACAACTCAAACCGAAGCAAATATCCCCAACAAAGGCCAGAGTAGGAAGCACAAGGATGGTCAGCATATGTCGGCAGTGGAAGGTTCTCCATGGGTTGGGCTGAGCCTCAAACCAGGAGACCCTAACCCCATGACTAGAGGACCTGCATCATGCAATGTCAGAGGGCTGTAAGAGAGAACGGTGAAGGGACCATGTCAAATGGGGCCAAAGGTGCTGGAGATACAGGCACACCTCAGAGATGTTGCGAGTTTGGTTCCAGACCACCGCAATAAAGCGAATGTTGCAATAAAGTGAGTCACACAAATTTTTTGGTTTCCCAGTGCATATAAAAGTTATGTTTACGCTATACTGTAGTCTATTAAGTGTAAAATAGCATCATGTCTAAAAAAACAATGTATATACCTTAATTAAAAAATAATTCATTGCTAAAAAATGCTAACCATCATCTGAGCCTTCATCAAGTCATAATCTTTTTGCTGGTGGAGGGTCTTGCCTTGATGTTGATGGCCACTGACTGATTAGGGTGTTGGTTGCTGAAGGCTGGGGTGGCTGTGGCAATTTCTTAAAATAAGACAACAATGTAGTTTACCGCATCAATTGACTCTTCCTTTCATGAACGATTTCTCTGTAGTACGTGATGCCGTTTGATAGCTTTTTACCCACAGTAGAACTTCTTTCAAAATGAGAGTCAATCCTCTCAAACTCTGACCCTGCTTTATCAACTAAGTTTATGTAATATTCTAAATCCTTTGTTGTCATCTCAACAATCTTCACAGCATCTTCACCAGGATTGGATTCCATCTCAAGAAACCACTTTCTTTGCTCATCCATAAGAAGCAACTCCTCATCTGTTAAAGTTTTGTCATGAGATTGCAGCAATTCAGTCACATCTTCAGGCTCCACTTCTAATTCTAGTTCTCTTGCTGTCTCCACCACATCTGCAGTTACTTCCTCCACTGAAGTCTTGAACCCCTCAAAGTCATCCATGAGGGTTGGAATCAACTTCTTCCAAACTCCTGTTAATGTTGATATTTTGAGCTTTGCCCATGAATCACGAATGTTCTTAATGGCATCTAGGTGAATCTTTTCCAGAAGGTTTTCAATTTACTTTGCCCAGGTCCATGAGAGGAATCACTATCGATGGCAGCTATTAGCCTTATGAAATGTATTTCTTAAATAATATGACTTGAAAGTTGAAATTACTCCTTGATCCATGGGTGCAGAATGGGTGTCGTGTTAGCAGACATGAAAAACAACATTAAAACTTATTGCACATCTCCATCAGAGCTCTTCGGTTCCCAGGTGCATTGTCAATGAGCAGTAATACTCTGAAAGGAGTCATTTTTTTCTGAGCAGTAGGTCTCAACAGTGGGCTTAAAATATTCAGTAAACCGTGCTGTAAACAGATGTGCTGTCATCCAGGCTTTGTTGTTGCATTTATAGAGCACAGGCAGAGTAGATTTAGCATAATGCTTAAGGGCCCTAGGATTTTTGGAATGGTAAATGAGCATTGACTTCAACTTAAAGTCACCAGCTGCATTAGCCCCTAACGAGAGAGTCAGCCTGTCCTTTGAAGCTTTGAAGCCAGGCATTGACTTCTCCTCTCTAGCTATGAAAGACATCTTCTTCCAATAAAAGCCTGTTTTGTCTACACTGAAAATCTGTTGTTTAATGTAGCCACCTTGATTATCTTAGCTAGATCTTCTGGATAACTTGCTGCAGCTTCTATATCAGCAATTGCTGCTTCATCTTGCATATTTACATTATGGAAACGGTTCCTTTCCTTAAACCTCATGAACCAACCTCTGCTAGCTTCAAACTTTTCTTCTGCAGCTTCCTCACCTCTCTCAGCCTTCACAGAATTGAAAAGAGTTAGGGCCTTGCTCTGGATTAGGCTTTGGCTTAAGGGAATGTTGTGGCTGGTTTGATCTTCTATCCAGACTACTAAAATTTTCTTCATATCAGCAATAGGGCTGTTTCTCTTTCTTATCATTTGTGTGTTCACTGGAGTCGCACTTTTAATTTCCTTCAAGAATTTTACCTTTGCATTCACAACTTGGCTAACCATTTAGTGCAAGAGGCCTATCTAGGCTTTTGACATGCCTTCCTCACTAAGCTTAATCATTTCTAGCTTTTGATTTAAAGTGAAAGACATGCAACTCTTCCTTTCACTTGAACACTTAGAGGCCATTGTAGGATTGGCCTAATTAATTGGCCTAATTTCAATATTGTTGTGTCTCAGGAAATAGGGAGGCTCGAGAAGAGGGAGAGAGATGAGGGAACGGCTGATGAGTGGAGCAGTCAGAACACACACAACATTTATCGATTAAGTTCTTTGTCTCATAGGGGCAAAATTCGTGGCGCCCCAAAACAATTACAATAGTAACATCAAAGATCACTGATCACAGGTCACCATACCAAATATAATAGTAGTGAAAAAGTCTGAAATCGGGCCGGCCCCATGGCTTAGCGATTAAGTGCGTGCGCTCCGCTACTGGCAGCCCGGGTTCGATCCCGGGTGCTAACCGACATACTGCTTCTCTGGCCATGCTGAGGCCGCGTCCCACATACAGCAACTAGAAGAATGTGCAACTATGACATACAACTATCTACTGGGGCTTTGGGGGAACAAAAAGGAGGAGGATTGGCAATAGATGTTAGCTCAGAGCCGGTCTTCCTCAGCAAAGAGAGGAGGATTAGCATGGATGTTAGCTCAGGGCTGATCTTCCTCACAAAAAAAAAAAAAAAAAAAGTTTGAAATATTGCAAGAATTACCAAAATGAGACACAGAAACACGAAGTGAGCAAATGCTGTTGGAAAAATGGCGCTGATAGCCTTGCTCGATGCAGGGCTGCCAT